CGAGGTGTCCCGCGTGCTGCTGCTGCTGCTCCTGCAGCCGCCGCCCGCCAAGCTGCTCCCGGAGCACGCCCACACCCTGGAGAAGTACTCCTGGGAGGCTTTTGACAGCCAGGGCCAGGAGAGCAGCGGCCAGCTCCCCGAAGACCTCTTCCTGCTGCTCCAGTCCCTCGTCATGGCCGCCCACGAGAAGGACACGGAAGCCGTCAAGGCGCTGCAGGTGGAGATGTGGCCGCTGCTGAGCGCCGAGCAGAACCACCTGCTGCACCTCGTGCTGCAAGAAACCATCTCCCCCTCGGGACAGGGGATCGGATGACGCGCATTAGCCTGGTGACTGCCTGCTGCCAGACCTCAGGCGCCCGCCTCTGCATTTGGAGGGAAATAAAAGATATTGATCACCGCCGCCGTTCTATCCTTGTTAGCTTATTCCTCTTGCCACCATAGGAATCTAGTTGACTGAAAGTTACCTGTACCCCAAAGACTTCTTTCCATAATAGCGGGAGGAAAAAAGCAGGGTGATGAGATCGGAGCATAGCACACGGCTCGCTTCCCCAAAAACTGCAACATAAAAATGAGACTCCTTTTACCCCATTTCCCTTCCACCCAAGTCGCCTCACCCCATACCCCAATCTTTGTTTCATTATCAGGATTTTATTTTGCACTGCTGTCTAAATACTTAAGCTATGTGGGGTTTTTTTTTTATCATGACTAATTTCTTGATGCATTTTTATATCTATCTACTATCTATGTGATCACCCCATTTCTCCTGTTTTATCTACCCCATACATATTCATGGGAACCATTTGGTTTCATACATCGTTGTTGCTACAGCTCTAAATCTATGATAAAGCCATTCCAAAAGTCCTGACATGTGGTTTAGATTTACTTCATCTATAAAATGGGAATAATTTATCTACTTGTCAGGCTCCAGAAAGCAGAAACAGTTCTCCTACAGTTCCAAGATGTATTCATTCATTTGAATTTGACAGTGTACTTAGTATGCAAGTACGCTGGACAATGAGTCTACAGAGATCATTTACTCGGATAGCTGCAATGCAAATGTATCAGGTGCAATGTGGGGTTGGGGGATGTGGTTGGAGGGTCCAAGGCAAAGGTGTCAGGTGTGCATTGGAATTCACATGTATGCATCTATTCTGAGAGGTACCTATAATCCACAAATTATCATGACTGATTTCTTGGCGCATTTCTATATTTGTAGTAGGAATCTTTCTACAGCTCTTACATAACTCGACTATGTAAAATCAGCATGGTTTTTTGGTGTTGTGTGATCATGTATATGACCAAAAGTATGATGGCGTTCCATTTAAAAACTCTAAATTTTCAAGGCTTTTTCGTCTGGATGTTACATGCAAGCTGATTTGGCTGTGTGGTGTTTTTTGTTCTTGTTTTTTTTAATTCAAATTTATTTTATTTACAGTTTCAAGAGTGATAAGAATTCTTCAGAGTATACTCTCATTCTCAATCATTCAGCTTTGGGAAAATGCATCCCAAACCAATAAAAAATAATATTGAATATAAAGTGTAACTGAAAAATAAATTAAAAAGACCAGTTTGCAACAGTACTCGGACATAATAAGGAGAGAACCAAATTAAGTAAAAAGGAAATGTGTGAATAAAGTTGATATACACTGGCTGAAAAAAATTGAGTCTTAAATAATTTAAGAATAATGTATTTGTATATAAAACCAAGTTGTTAATAAAAATGAACTGGAAAACACTTGATAGACAATGGAAAACTAACATGTTGATATTTGATGTGCCTCAGGAAAAGCCCACCATTCAAAGAACAGAAGAAATAATCAGATTTAAAGCTGGAAATAAAAAGTTCCCGAGTTGATGAAAGACATATGCTTAAGAATGCATAAGTTAAAATGGGAACAAATTAGGAAGTAAAACTAAGAAGTAAAAGGATTAGAGAAATAAGGTAAGGGAAAAATAAGACTATTGATTATAACAGATTAAGCCAACAGAAGCAACAAAGATAAGTCACCATTACAAAAATCATATAAATTATAAGGAGGGGTAGCATGAAAAAAAATGCTTTCAGAATACAGAGAATCAGCAAAAAGGTAAAGGTGATTAGAGAAAAACATGTTATGGAGCTAGAAGTCAAATCCAGGCTTCTCTGACTTCAAAGTCTGCACCGTTGTCTTCTGCCCTTGGATACATGCACAACCACTCGCCTTCAACTTTCTTGCTACATTTAGCTTATTTTAATTCCCCGTTACACTCTAGACCACTATCTATTCAAATGACCAGAATATGTATACTCTATTGAGAATCACATGTCATTAAAGCCATTTCTGATGTATGATCTAATAGGAAAAGATATAAGCCTATGACTGAATAAGAAAGGTATGTATATGAGTTCACAGAACTCAGACCCTACCTAAAATCTGCTCCAGAATACAATGTAGCCTTTCATGGGGAAAATCTGGGAAGGAGTTCATCTATGACCTGCACACCAGGGAAGGCCTGTGGGGAGAAGGTAGAGTCCAGCGCAGCCTGCAATCCTTCGCTTGTAAAATGTAAACATCTCCCAGTCAGGAGAGACCATGGCCCTCAGGTCCTTTTCTTGTTTGTTTGTTAATGCTCACCCAAGGATATTTTTCCATTGATGTTTTAGGGAGAGTGGAAGAAAGAGGGAAAGACAGAGAGAAACATTGATGTGAGAGAAACACATCGATTGGTTGCCTCCTGCACACGCCAAGGTACATGCCCTTGACTGGAATTGAACCCAGGACCCTTTGGTCCACAGGCCGACACTCTATCCACTGAGCCAAACCAGCTAGGGCAGTCCTCAGGTCCTTGCATCCTCTGTTCTGAACAGGTAAACTCCATCCTTTGTGCTCTCCACCTCCTGACCTACTTCTAAACTTCTTAGCTGCAGACCCCTCAACTCATCTCATATTTTCTATATTCTGATGCCCTCCTCACATCTGCTAATTGGTACTAGACAAGCACTGACCCCCATCTTTCTTCCTCCATCAATTACTTAACTTATCTGTGTCTTAAGTTCCTCTTCTACAAAAAGAAAATAATAGTATGAATTTGGCTGTGGACCCTAGTGACTTTGGGTATCATCATATTTTCTTGAGTTGGAATAAGAACCTTGTTAAACTGTCAATAACCACAAAAATGCAATAATCAAAAATTAAACAAAAGAGAATAGGTAATAGCATTAAATTTGGCATCTAAACTATTGACTCAAATAATCAACAGGAGCTATAAGTTTCCAACATTAAATCATGGACCAGGATCTTGCTTCAGAATGAACTGAAAAACAGTTAAACATTCAGTGGTCTCATAAGCTCCAAGTGATGCTGTGGATAATCCTAATCATCATATTGTCCAAAGTAGTAGATTTGGCTTTTCCACTTACTTGCTCTCGTGGTCAAATATAGGGGTGGGCAAAAGTGGTTTTACAGTTGTGAGTGCATGAAACACAGTTTATTTATTAATTATTGTATTATTTATTTGTTACTATTATTGTTTTTATTTCATATCCTTTCTTATTACTTAACCTTAGGGTAATAAGGGCTGTTTATTTAACCTACTTTTGCCCACCCCTGTATCTGCCATTTATTCCACCAGTTTCCCTATCTGTGCCATAGGCCAGTGTCACTTTATGTAATGTCCCCAAGAGACCTCTGGAGGGCGGCAGAGGGAAGGATGTCAAGAGCTGTGGTACATAAACCAACTGGAAAGACAAATTGTAGTCTATTATACTACTATAGGCATGAAATCTTCAAATCAAATAAAATCTGCAAATTTGTCCCCCACCGACAAGACATCTGGACTAAGGTCATTGTGTTGAAGGTCTACTTTGCTCTACTAGTGTAGACTCCATCTTTCTGTTCTCTAGAAATGTCTTTGGTCTTGAACCCAATCTTTTTCTGTACCCTGAGCTGTGGGGCTATTTTCAGTATCAACAGGAAGAGACCTGCCCCAGCAACATTACATTCCCAAAAGCCAAACAATACTTAGACCCCTGGGGAAAAAGAAGTATTCAGTATGTCTCTCAGAAGACCTCATAGGCTGTTTATTCTTGACTTCCTTTTCTTGCTTTACCAGTTCTCTGACACCATGCACCTTCCTCTTGCAAATAAACATAAAACCCTCATATTCCCAGAACAGCAAGAAATACTTGGGAAACATGGTCTTTTGTCAAGTGAATCTCTTGGGTTTATAATAAAAACAAATTCTCTACTCATATTCTATCCTCTTCTAACATCAATTTTATTATTCTCCCTTACATTTCACTCCCAAATTAGCTCCATTGTCTGTGTTCTAAGAATACTTTGGCTCAGTGTAGCCCCCTTCCACTTCAGTGGTGCTGATGAGTGATGGCAGGAAATATCAGCTCACACATGTTTTCTCTGTAAACTCACAGATATTGTTTTCTATACAATAGTAATAAGTAATATCTAAATAAGTAAATGGCATAACTAATAATAAAAATAACTAAATGTGTGGTGGATAGGGATGGGGACTGTCCTAGTGTCAAAAGAAGAGAGAGCATCAGAAATTATCAACTCACCTGAAAATTCTGGGGCTGCTTCCAGCACAATGCCAGACATAGGCAACTCAGCTCAAGTAGAAAATGCAAGTCTGTACAGCTCAGACATTGTCCCAAAATAGCCATTTGGTGCTGTGCTTCCTCAATTGCCTGCATCCAGCTCACAGTGGCACTGGGTTTTAGAATTACTAGCTTCAAACTCATTCAAGACTCTCATTGTCTTGAATCTACACAAAGAGTCTACTGAGAGGAAGAGAGAGAGAGAGAGAGAGAGAGAGAGAGAGAGAGAGAGAGAGAGATCCACACCCAGAAAAAAGAGGAAAAAAAGATAAGAAAAAGCAAATGGGCTATTTCTCTAGTCACAGGGATGGAAAGCACAGTATAGGGAATACAGTCAATAATATTGCAATAACTTTGTGTGGTGTCAGATGGGTACTACTAGACTTATCAGGGTGATTACTTAGTAAGTCATGTAAATGTCTAATCACTGTGCTGTACACCTGAAACTAATATAATATTGTATACCAACTGTAATAGAAAAAATTTTAAATTTAGCTTTATTGTTAAAAGTATTACAGATGTCCCCCCTTTTTTCCCATTGACCCCCTCCACCCTGGGCCCACCCACCCCCAGGCCTTCACCACTCTATTGTCTGTTCCATGCTTCTATGTTCCTGGATCTATTTTGTTCATCAGTTTATTTTGTTCATTAGATTCCACATATGAGTGAGATCATGTGATACTTGTCTTTATCTAGCTTATTTCGCTTAGCACAATTCTCTCCAGGCCCCTCCATGCTGTCTCAAAGGGTAAGAGTTCCTTCCTTTTTACAGATGCATAGCATTCCACTGTGTAAATATACCAA